TTTCATAATAAAGTAAGGGCAAAGCATCAGCATTAAACCATGCTACATGATTATTATGCACAAGGAAGACGCAAATCAATTGCATTGATGCATAAAATTAAATGCATCGATTTTTTTTATTCTAGAAATATGAGAAGACGGCACGTGTTGATCTCTATAAGCCTATAACACGACGCATCGAACGTATGCATTGGAATTACAAATCCGGATGACGCAACAGCTGAAACAACGAGGTTGACTATATGCAATTACATTCGACATTTCGTCTATGTAAAAGAAAAGAGGCATCAACCTGGCAAAGCGCCGGACCCGTACCCAGTCGTTACTCTTCATGTCTTTGGCGACCGTAAAGGATCAAGGGAAGTCGAAAGAAAAAGTTTCTCTCCGGTAGTTCCGGTTCTCCCTTGATGCACCGCGTCCCGTTAAACGAGTAAGAGAAACGACTGGGCGCGAGTCTGCGGTAAAGCGTCAATCATTTCAGTCACTATTCAAGATAACAACTATGTACTGCTGGATTTAGAACCATTAACGGAATATAGTTCTTTAAGGAGATTTTTGCTCTTCGTAAAAAGCGCTTTCTCCTTACACAAGAGTAAGCAAACCTGAACAATGAAAACTAATCAAAGTAGTTACAACTTATAAAAGTTGGTAAGTATGCTCGACGGAACTTTTAGTGTCGAAAATAAAACCCCTCCTGAGCCGAAAAACGGGGGGAAAAATGGTGAGGAAAGAAGGCGCAATGTAACCGGAGTACAAAACGATAAATTTTAACACCGTATAAAAGCAGGTGAAAGCACTTACTGACATTTCTTACGTGTAAACAGCCCTGCGATTGTTGCGTCGATCAAAAATCGCCGCGAAGTTGCAGCTAAATTTCAAGCATGTTCGAAACTCAGGCGATTTTCGCGCGACAGAGAGTTTTAGCAGACCAGAGAGTTTTAGCATCAGACAGAGAGTTATAGCATCACGTTGACGGCAAACGGCTAACGGCAGAGCTAAACCAATGATCTAATAGTTTCGTGCCCGACCTTGTGCTTTTGGTGGTCATTTAAAAGAGCGGCTTTTCACGATTATGGAAACCTCAAAATAACCCGCTCTCGCGTTGAAACTGCAACGTTAAACTAAAAAAAAGCAGGTCACGTGATCTTTTCTGCTGTTTGGCATTTGCCGTGAACGTCATGCTAAACCTCTCTAATAGAGTTAATATCGCAAGTGTAAACGGGCCTCGAGGATGTACTGTGCAACGACGCTATAGTTTTTGCTGTATAGAGTTACATGGGCGCACGAACAAGACGGGGTAAACCCCCTTTATAAAAGGGGTTCTCATCAAAAATTCTGAAACATGAGCCCTAAAAGACTAGTGAAAATACCACATTCATGTTACCTCTATACATAGGTAGCAAATAACACTGTTATTTTAAAACATTCGTCCCGCTATATGCTCTTTTGTAAGAGATCTTCTCAACGCCAAAAGATAATAATTCCCAGCATCTCTTCCCCGCTCATGGAATATCCTCTAGTTGATAGAGAACAATTTTTCCAGTGATTCGTTGAGTAAACGTCTTTGAAATTTTATATTATGTAGTTTTCTTGACATTTCATTGTTACTTAGTGAAGTTCTTATCGACAGGTCACTGGAAAAATTCACGCTCTTTAAATGTTGTAAATTTGATGTAAATATATATTGATGTAAGTGTCCAAAATTCTGTAAATTTGATGTAAATGATTTCCATTATAAATTTACAGAAATTTGGACACTTACATCATGTTTACATCAATTTACACCATTTAAAGCGCGCGATTTTTTCCAGTGAGTTGTGCAAGAATATGATGTTATGATTTTCGAAAGTCTGCCCTGCTGCAGTCAGCCTCTAGCACTAAGACAGATACCAACCAACATAAAATGAAAACTTTAGACGTATAATATACATTTTTATTGAAATTACAGCATATTAAGTTAATAATTTGTATTCAAATATATAAGAACATCAGTTGGAAATGATATTAACTGAAATACAATTGTTAAATCGAACTAAGAAAATATACTATTGGTCGCTTATATATCATAAAAGTTGCAATTAGTTGCAATTTGCTCCATGATATCTTGAKTGTCGAGTATTTTGAGGAGGTTTGTTGTTATTCCTTATCAGTAATTCATTGTTTGTTAGAGTTTCATCTGGCTGCATTGAGCTACTATACTCTGTTTTAGCGTTGAGGTTCCTCTGAAAAGATCAATAATTCAAAAATGTGAGAATATAAAAAGAAAGTATGTTTGAACTCAATTGAAATATGAATAAATATATGATGGAATGGAATGAGATGAATGAGATGGCTATGTGTGAGGACCGAACGAGAAGTGTTTTGGTCAAAGTCTATTTAATAAGCTCAAAAAGGCGAGAGTTAATTGCGTGGAATGATAACAATATATTACTTGAGGTTGATTTATACACACTTCGCCTTGTCACGCGGATCTTGAATTGAAGCCCGCGCTTCATTTCTGCGAATTAATCTGGGGTTTTATGTCCATGTTCAAAAGCTTGTGACATTTAATTAGGAGTAGGTTACACTCGTTTGGTCACAGACTGAAATTCTGCTTTAGTCAAGTCACATTTCGCAAGTGGCATCGTGTGTCGACCGTTAGAGAGACAATATACGCATATGGATGAAAGATTCAACTTTTTTCAGAAACGTGTGTTACGATGTAAAAAAACGAAGGCACTTGAACAAAAAGATAAATTGTAAGCCTGTAAAAAAGTAGATGAAACCACTTAATGACGTCTCGGGCTTTACTGCCTTCGTCGCTTTGTTTCATCTACATTAAATTTAGCTATATTTGGTTTTAGTTTTTGTACTCTTTCAAGTTTCACTTAAAGGATTCACCAGTATTCAATGCGGTCGTGTTTTAGATTTTTCATATATGGAAAATGASTTGACTTCAAATATCCATTCGCAATCCGTTTCCATCTGTTGTTCTTCTTATCAAATCTTGTAATGTCCATTAATATAACATAAAGGATAAAAATGGAGTATGATTTTCTCGTATTATGATGTATGTTTATTTAAAAGATCCTGGAAGTCTTAAAAAAGGGCGGGACGGACTGATGTTTAACCCTTAAGAGATTGCACAACAAATATTGTTACATCAGTTCCAATGATAAAAATGTATAAAATGTTTAATGTCAAAACAAAACGCGAGAAAAATCAATATCGATGCGCCCTTTCTCTTCTTTTCCGACAYCCTAAGAGAACCCAGAAACTCCAAATTGGCACCYTAAAAGATTCACAATCACGAATTTTTACCATTGCCTTAAGAGATCCGACGAGCATCCCGGTTCCCCCCCGGGAAGTTAAGCACAAAGAAAAAGTTGATTCACGTTTAGTCATAAAAGATTCAATCACGTGTCTCCCTTAATGAATTTGAACTAAGCGCAAAAAAATTCAGTAGTCCGATAACGATACATGCAAAAGGAATAGATGAATATGAAATAAGGTACGCTGAATTTTAGCAACCTTTGAACCTGGTTCATGCYTTCATTGTTCCTCTCTTACTGCACTATGGCGTTTAGCGAGAGTTATACAAAGAATATAAAATTAATCTAATGAACAGCCCGGTAACTAATTCGAAAATTCATACAAATTTGAATGAAGGGATTGGGACACGAAATCGCCCAACAATCTAGGATCTAATTTCTACAGTACTGAATGAAGTGTGTACATTAACTATGGAAAGTCTCAATAGTTGTCTTAATAACACAAGACAACACGAGAAGTAAAGAATGATGATTTTTAAATTAAAATTCAGATATGCGTATCAATGAATTTCACATTGAAAATGTTGCGTAAAGAAATATGAAATCATTAAAAAAATTTCTATCAATACAAAAAGAATATCGCRTAAGAATAAATGAGTGAAAGAAATGGATAAAGAATGATTTGAAACTGAATAAAAAATGGAATGAAAAATTGCATGAATGATTCCCATTTGGCATTACCCTTTTTGACGAAARCGTTACTCCTCTTTTGCCTGGCGGCGGATAATGTATAACAGCAGCTTGACAAACTAAGCTTACTAAAGCCAATAAAACAAAAGTAAGCTGRATTTTTAAAACCATAATGTCGGGYCTTTCGAAAAACTATGCAACTGTGTCCTTGCGCTACTTCTGTGTCTTTATATTATAGCTCAATTCTAACACGCGTGGTGATTGGCGGATTTTATGAGAAAAGCCAGGGTTTGTATTTCRCTGGTAATCCAGCCTGTTGTCTTGAAAGAATTGCGTCTAAACGTTTGTATGTTTTTWATGTKTGCCTCCAATCACATTAGTCTTTGCTTTAATTAAGGGTACTGGCATGTAATTTAGAACGCAAAAAGTGCCATCTCGRTGCGTCCTACTGCGAACTTTTCTTCGRCGTCCAACTGACTTTTTGAGTAGATCATATCGGTGAAGTCTCATTAAAACCATATGGTGAATAGATAATTTGCTACCCCATGTCAACTAAACCGAGGAAGTCACTTCTATCGCTGTTGTCGTCGTGAATTTTCAAGTCAGTTTTGAAGAGTTTGTTGTTTTCGAGCGTTTAAGTTAGCGGCTTTTTATAAGTCGTCTTCTTCCGCTTTTTAAACGACCTCAATCTTAATGTTGAAGTTTGCTTTTTGTTGTAAYTAAGGGTTATTTTTGCATATTAACTGTAAAGTGAACATTCAGTGTGTAGTTTGAATGTAGACGACATACTTTAGAATGGTGTTGCATGCTTGATAAACTATAGCTATTCCATGTGAAACTCAAGTTGAGACTCAAGACACCGAAAAAGAAATCTATATATCTAAACGACCAGAAGWAGTTGGTTATAAGTTCAGTGAACTAATTACTTTTGTCAAATTTTACGACTTATTAACTTCCTAGTTTAAGCGGAGGCGAAATGCTTAAGTGTTTTCTTTAATTTATAAGAATTTGTTAGCTTTGTATTAAGCACTTACATGAAAGCTAAATGACGCCATTCACTTTGTTTTCAAATTCAAATTCACATTTAATTTGTACTTAAGCGTTACAAAAGCTTTCAAATAGGGTTTTGAGAGCATAACAATAATTTGCTCTGTAGGTATTATCGTCTGTTTTCGTGAGATTTTTACTAGTTAAGAAGACTTCGTGCGCCATCTTTGTGCAACAAAACTTTATACAAAGATGGCCACCGAAAAATACATASGTATCTTTTCAGTGTCCAAGAAATTTGTGACAGAACCGCTCAACTACTTTGAATTTTGGACCAAAATAAACACTTTCAAATAGCCTACAAAAAGATATATTTACAGGGATTGAAATGACATTTTTAAGCTGTAATTGAAATTCGATAATCACATTAAATATGAATCGAAATCGAATATCAGTTACCACGAGCCACGATAATGACTTCAAAAGCAAAAGCAATAAAGTAATGGTAGCTGTGGGTTGAAGAATATCAATGGCTTTCAAGTTAATGATAAGGCTAGGTAGATGCTATAAGATCAAGAAATTATATAAAAAATGAATTCCTAACAGACAATCATTGAGCCGGTTTGCTAAAAACTTATACTGAAAGTATAATAATAATTAAAAAAAGCAATTTTTGACACTAGCTTTATGTTAAAAATGATGGTGATGATTCGTAGACGTTTCAGTCAAGACGATGACCTTCCTCAGTGAAGGACACTTTAATAAAGTTATGGTGGTGAGAAAGAAGGAAGACTTTCATCGGCGTGTTTTCTCGAGGCGTGGCTCTCGGATAGACATCAATTCAGGAAGTGATAAAACCAGGATTCCTGTAATCTAAGGGACTCGTAAAATCTCTCTCGCGCTAATATTCTCTTTCCGTTAAAGTTCGCGCTTGCAAACCTTGTTCTGGAAGTAATTCATCGTCTTGAAACGTCTGAACCACCATCGTTTTCAATATAGAGCTATAAGTCCCGAGGTATTGTGTTCTCCGCACTTGACGTCAAATTTATTCTTTTGAATTCCTTTTGTATTGTAAACATTTCAAAAGAATAAATTTGACGTCAAGTGCGGAGAACTCAGTACCTCGGGACTTATTAAAAGGGTGTATATTGTGTCCAAAATACGTGTTTTGAATTATATGAATTCTCCTGGCTGCAAATTTAATTGTACTGAAAGCCCATAAGATTGTCCACTGTTTTACTGGGGATTTCTCCCCGTTCTAACGTTTAAACAAGATTTAGAACATTGTTTCTGTATCGAAAGAAAGCACAGTCTATACTCCAGACTAAAAAAAGGACCGGCAAAGTCTAACCGGGCATGTTCAGACAAAACCGAACCATGACCTATCCCAGACAATTAATAAAATCATTTCAAAAAAAGATATCCTACCTCAGACCCAAAAGCCGAAACACCATGACACCGTCCAATGATTATAATAATTCTCAGCACTAGATTTATTTTCTTCGCTTTCTATATATAATCGCTTGGAATAGCAGTTAAAAATATACATTTTTGTTACTGCATATAGTTTCTCTTCAGTAATCTGTGAGCTCGAAGCTCCTAGTTTCGAAAGTCTGATCCTTGATTCTTGGTTCTTGAATCTTTATTGCGGATGTTGCCATTATAGATTTCTTGGGTTCGGGGTTTGTGACGAAGGCCATTGACTGCATATCGTAAAATAGATCTTAAAATGCTTTATCTTCATTGCTTTGGGAACTAAAGAAAAAGGGAAGCTTTGAAATATTTTGCTCTTTTTCACAGCAATTAATTATCGAACTTGCAACAGAACAAAACATTTGTTGTAAATTTGGCAAAGATGCAGTGTTTAACGTAGTTCAATTTTAACTCTATAATCATAAAAAAAGCGCGCGTGATTCCAGAAAGACCGTTTAACCGTAAAAACAAATTGTTTGATGCGGATTCCTGAAGAACCGGTACAACCTTAATTAGATTGTTGACCAACGTTCTGTAAGAAATACGTTGTTAATTTGCCTGTTTGCTTCCCATTTCAAAATAGTCTCTCAGCATGACGTCGCTTTGTAAATGTGACCGTCATTTTGATTACCAGTCTTTTATCATCCAGCGCTTGTTGTTTGCTAAACTTGAGGGGAAATATACACTCGCCACAGGAGTTATTATATTATTATTTTTTTTGAATTATTATTTTCAAGATCTAAATCATATTGAGACCGGTATTTATTAAACGTTATTATAAACAAATCGCGAGTATTTTTTGAAAAATTTATAAATTATAAAAAGAAAAAGAAAGAATCGAAAAAACTCATTTTTTTTAGAAATTGATCAGGTGCTTTTGTGCCATCCGAGCTCTACACTGATTCCACTTACAAAAAAAAACAAAAAACAAAACAAAACAAAGCGAGAAACAAAAATACAAAAACCAAACCAAACCAAACAAACAAACAAACAAAAAACAGCAACAACAACAACGCAGGATGTTGGGAGAACACGAACAAGGCGCAAAAAATCTCAAGCCGGAGGCGAGAGACTTTCAGCGTTTTGATTGTTTTCCCAATACTCCCAAGTGGTTTATTTCACCAGGAACGCAGGAAAATGTGTTGTTTAATTTATTGCTTTTATATTACAGCATTTTCGAATCTGTGCGTTTACCGGTGAAATAAACAATAACATTTGACCAATCAGAGAGCTTGTACTATTAATTAAAGCTATAATATAAACCACATTTCGTCTAAAAATTAGAGAAATTCATTCTTTTCTTTCAACTGAGCGTGCGGAGAACACAGCCGAGCACAGTCATGGCCCCAGTAATAAAAATGATAATAAATTCAATGGATCGAAATACAGGAAGAATGATCTCTAGCCAGTATTTTCTGATAACCTGGATAAAAGGTATTACTTTCTTCACTTTATTTCTGAGATTGGCTTTTGTACAGAATTTAGTGATTTTTTTTAAAATGGGCTCCCTGTTTTGAATTGGTCCTCGTCTCACACGGTTTTCACGAGTAACGCCAGACGGTTTTAGCCACTGGTGTTCATTTTGCATTCTAGTATTTTATTGAATTTAATATCATTTCTAGTCAAATATCGATGCCATGCAGAACCGATTGATTTGTGTTTCAAGACGTCTTTCTATTTCAAAGACACAGATGCGCTCGTTCTATGCTTCCAAACCACCAAAGCTTGAAGAAGACGAGGTCAAAGCTCTTCTTCGTCCCTTGTCAGGCCAAGGGGGAAATATTTTGCTAAACTATAATCACACAAACGGTATCGCTGTTGTCACCATTGATAATGCTGGTCGCAAAAACGCTTTAACGGGTCAAATGATGGTACAGTTGTCAGACATAGTTGATGAATTGCAAACATGGACATCTGGTAAAGCTTTGATTTTACAAGGTGACGGAGGCACATTTGCTTCAGGTGCTGATATAAGTGTWGTGCAAGAAATCCTTACTCCAGAAGATGGGGCAAAAATGTGCTTTTTTATGCATCGGACATTGACACGTTTGCGTCGTCTKCCATTACTCAGTTTGGCTGTTGTACAAGGACATGCAATTGGTGGTGGTGCCGAGGTACATGCATCTATAGCATTTATTATAAGTATACATTGTCTTTGAAACGGTGCCAATAAATGCTATTCAAGTAGTATGGACAAGAGTGCATTTGAAACAACAGGAGTTTGGCATTTCATTGGATGAAAAACCTCATTGTGTGATTTTCACATCTCGCTTAGCTCACTAAAACTCATCGGATACTTCAGACACAGGATGTATTATAATTATGCAATATTACATTTTGAAGCAAAACTAATCTTTTGTTCTTTATTTATTAGCTTGCCACGGCTTGTGATTTTAGACTTATGTGCAAGAGTGCAGGTAGCAATATTTTCTAGTTTTCACTGGGGGGTGTACGGGGAGGGGGGGGGGACTTGAGTACTAGATAATTACAACTAACTGGGATAATGTTAATTTAAAATCTATTTATTTTATCAGAAATCAGATTTGTGCAGGCAAGAATGAATGTATCACCTGGGTGGGGTGGTGGTGCCAGACTAACCAAACTYGTTGGCCGTCAAAAGGCATTGGAAATACTTCTACAGTCAAAAAAGATGRGTCTTACAGAATCACTGAGATGTGGGTTGGTTGATGATGAGCTGTGCATGGATGACAGAAAGGTAACATGTAGGCCATAATTTTTGACTTGCTTGTCTTCTAAATTTAAGATAAATTTAAGATAAAATATATCAAATTGTACGAATAAAAATATACCATAAAAGTTGGAGAAATAACTTACCGGTACTACTTTTGACTACTTTTGGTTGCTGAAATGTCAGTAAGTTATTCTTTTTGTTTATGGTGTCAAATTTCTCTTATTCAACAACTGTTTATTCAGAAAAACAGCCAGTCAAAAACAAAAACACTTAAAAAGAACTGTTGATTAGGTAACTACTATTCTGGAAAAAGTACTAAAAGGTAGGGTTGTCAATTGATTGAGTGTTGGTTGGTTGATTAATGGTTTGGGTTGTGGGTTGGTTGGTTGGTTGGTACAGCCAGTCAAAAACAAAAACACTTAAAAAGGATTTACTGATCCAAAAATAATCAAAACACACTATGTTCAATATTTTCCTGAGCATGAACTTTTAACATTACAATAAGAAATCTATG